CATGCTCTTTATAGAGAAGTTAGTCATTTGCATTTATTTTTGACAATTATATTGCTATTTCTATGACATGGAACGGTAAAAAAACAAACGAGAATAATTTTTGGACAATATGATAAAGATCGGACATTTGCATGTAATTATCAAGATTTAGAATACTTCAGCTAATTTATTAAAAAGATATATCGTAATGGAACCTAACGAAAATTCTCTTTTAAACAAATTCTTAATTAGAATTCAGTCAAAAAACGAACTGTCTATAGCTACATATAACGTGGCACAAATCAATGAAGTCACTGACAAGCGGACTGAGCCATGTTGGTAGGTGTAGACTACGTGGTTGGGATCCACGAGTTGATAGCTATCGATGGTTAGAGACCTTGAATGACATGGATGAAAATCGTTTGCAATGGCGAAGGTACATCCACTCTTTGTGTTCTGCCAAATTCTAATCTTCTGAATTCTTCATGACCCTCTCTTTTTCTCTTTTCAAATTTATCTCACTGGATTATACTCCTTCAACAACATCTTCAAACCCTAATCTTTCACATAATGCTTATACTCTTACTACTTCTACCACTATGGAATTTGAGTCAGTCAGCTACAACGTAGGACCAGGCACATATACGCATCGGTCCAAGTTGCCATACCTCGTTAGCGCAACAAGATCAACACCGGATTCATAGAAGTAGTTAATTTAGTGGTGGTAATATATAAAAGAAAGGTTGTATATAAGGATATAGTATAGGAAGGAAGAATGTTATGAAGCAATTTTAATCTCAAGGTTTAAGGGAAGATAAAGAGTGTATACACCTACGCCACTGTGATCGATTCTGAGCCATGTCACACAGAGTCTCCAACCATTGGTTACGATAGTCACGCGGACCCCAACCAGGTAGTCTGCATCTACCGACATGGCTCACACCAGAAGTTAGTGACTTCAAGCACTGATGCCATGTTTTGGTTTGGCCGCCCCTAACTCTTTCCCAACCATCCCCTACACTAGTCAGCATTGCGCGTCGTGGTAATCGGTGTTCAGACATACGTAACATGTTGCCCAACCATCTCAGTCGATGAAGATTCATGACCTCATCAACTGATTAACCATCATTCCCTAATACCCTGCGTCTAACCTCGCTATTACTTAATGGGATTTGAATGGACAACTGCATCTCTGTGTTGATGTGGTATGGCAACCCGAACTGATGTACGTACGTACGTACGAAGTTCTAGGTTGTGACTGACTGACTGACTGACATATAACTAAGAATTAAACTTCAAGGGTGTGTTATTCTGGCATAAGGAATTAGACGCTTTTTTAATATATATATATATATATATATATATATATATATATATGCATTGTATGCTGATAGCTTTACCTAAAATATAAAACTATGAGACAGAATAACTTAAAAATTTAACTCTATGATTAAATATTTTACAATAGTTTTCCTTTAGAACTAAGTTGTATCATTAACGGCTTCATGGTCGATTGATCAAAAAATTTATTTCTATCACTGTTACTTGTAATATCTGATGTTTTAATAATTCGTAAGCGAAAATGAGCATACTGTATTGATTTTCATATGGTTTAAAAGTTTTAAATGAGTGACTGTGTCATTTAATTCGGTAATCAATTCCCTTTTTATTATTTACAAGCTAATATTTAGAAATGTACAGAATTACAACTAATACCATTTCAAAGTAGGATAGTTGAAATCAGCTTTACTTCTTAGTGTTTGCTTTCTAGAGACGTACGTTTTTCTAATAGTTTGTCTGTTAAGCATATACTAAGTCAGTCATCCGTAGGCAAAGTAGAATGTAGCATATATGTGCTTCCGTCTAAAATGTTATACGAGATGAACTTATCAAAGTGAATACCCGAGTGGTATAAGTAGTACTAGTGATGGTATCTGTGATAGTAAGAAAGATCAGGCACAGAGAATATAATACGAGAAGCAAAAATTATAGAACAATTTTAAAACTCAGATCTTAAAGAAAGACATGAACTGAATGAATCTGCCCATTAGGGATCAACTCAAAACCTTATCATTCAACATCTACAGCCACTTGTTACAACAAACCATAAAACATCTACCAGGGACTCTGGACCTACTAACATGACTTACATCAACAGACAATTATGATCACATAGACTGACGTCATGTTTTCTTTAGGTCGCCCCCAAATGCCCTGGTACGGTCGAGAGTGAGGAGAGTCCGCTCTCCCTCTCCAAATGCTCTCATATGGCCACGCGTATATAGCCCCTGCCATGGAAGTCCTACTCACTGACTTCTCGTGACATTACTGTTGTTTTCCAAATTGAAAGAACAAAAAGCGAGTGTCCGGCGCTTTAACCGGGTTGGTGGACACGAAAAGTCCACCTAGGTGAGTTAGAAAACCCTCATTGCAAACCAATGGTGCACATGGGCTCCAGTATTCTGAAGGGACAACTGGAGTATGAATCAATTGTTGGTCACCGGCCACCATGAGACTGCATCTCCTTACGATGCTCCACTGCCTTGTGGACTAGACCTTGAGTCAAAGACTCTGGATGTGGGCCCCTGAGAAAACCACCTGCTTCAGTTTGGGCACCTGAGCAGTATCACAGCCTTCACACAAATCAAATGAGATTTGTGTGGCGCATATTTATCTGGTGCTTCCTTGTACCAATATTTATGTGTTTAAATAAATAAATGAAATAAATGGTAGCACAAAATGAATAAATAGCTGAATGGGTTACTTAGAGAAATACATACCCCTGATAAACGAGTCGTCAACATGAAAGTTGGAGACCCGGAATGCGACAACGAGAATGCCTAGGTAAGTAGTTGTCTTGGAATTATTTTATTTACAACAAAGAAAACGTTTAACAAGCTAACAAAAATAGTCAAAAGGAATCTACATTAGGTTTAAATAAAGGAATCCTGTAAGGCAATAAACATCATTTAGATCACTAACTGCCCTGGTAAGGCTAAGAGTGAGGACAGTCAGCTCTATCTTGAAATGCTCTCATATGACCATGCGTATAAAGCCACCATCAGGGAAATCCTACTCACTGCCTTCTCGTGGCATTACTGTTGTCTACCGAATTGAGAGGATGAAAAGCGAATGTCCGTCGCCTTAACCGGGTTGTTGGGTATAGAGGATCCACCTAAAGGAGTTGGAAAACCCTGATCCAAGACCAATAGCACACATGGGTCCCAACATCTTAAGGAAACGAATGGTGAGTGAACCCATTGTTGGTCACCGGCTACCATGGGACTGTATCTCCTAAAGTTGCTCTACTGCCTTGTGGATCAGAACCTTTAGGTAAAAGGTTCGAGGAGTGGCCCCCTATGAAAACCACCTGCTTCGGTTTGGGTACACGGGTAGTGTTTCATCCCTCACACAAATCGAATCATTTAAGTGACGCATATATACTTGGTGAATCTTTGTACCAATCTTTACATGTTTAAATAATATTTCAGTAATAACATTTCTGAAGAAAAACGTTTGCGAAGTTCGCGAAACCTTTTTAGATTACATTGATAAAAGCTTATTAATTAGGCAGAATCTAGAAACAAAATCCAGGCTGTTGGCACCAACATCGATTTGATATTACATCAATATACGATAAGTACGTGAGAGATCGAGAACAGCAACATATCCACACAAATCACATTCGAAGCATGAATCAAGTCCATCCTGTCTGATCTAGTGTTCATAGGAATTTATTAGTAAAACTACCAAACACTGATGCAATACTCTGTAGTGTATAGTAACTGAACAATTGGAAACAGTTGCCAAAATACATTGAACTCATGTTTATTCATTATTACTCGTATAGAATAGTATGTATGAGCAAATTAGAGAAACAATTTTATTTTCGCTTCTTCTCACACGCCCCTTATCCTATCAAAACACGAAGTTAGGTAATATAAACAGTGAGTAACTACTGCAAATAAACCTGGTTTGCGGATTCTCACTAATTTTTATAAACCAGTCCTTCTTGGAATCAAATCTTAGGACACAAATATCTAGAGATGCAAGTTGGGAAAGCGTTGACCTTTTACAGTAAATATACAAATGACCTGAATAGTATGTGATTAGATTTTTCAAAATGTACTGTAATATGTCACATAGTTTTGATAAGATTCGTTTTCTTGATGTGGTATCTAAAATTACCAAAGGGAGAAAGTTTTAAGCGACATCAAGAGTTTGCTTTCACGGTAAGACTAAATATTTGCAAAACATCGGAATGAATTGAGTCAACCATAGACGACGCTGAACCTGACCTTAGTCTGGCCTATTGAAATCGTTGAAGTGTTAAATTATTCAGAAGAAAGAATATCATTAACTAACTAGTATCATGACTTATTATAAGCCGAACTTATTGAAAAAGAAAGGGAATTATGGTAAGACAAGCGACACAAGTAGGTTGATGGTTTGAAGTTGTGGCATGTATTATGTATTTACATAATTCCACCTCACTCTTGGAGATTTTTGGACAATATCATCCATTTATTCTTGGGAAACATAAAACACAAGACTGACAGAAGACAATTACTACCAGATGGTCAAGAAACCAATTGTATATACAATAACTCATCAGAAAAAAACTAAGATGAATTTTTACGCGATTTTGATGAGAATTCAATTAGTTATCGACAATATCCTTACAAATAAAGTTTGGGAGCATGGTATTTAAGAAAGGATCCACCAAACATTTGAGTTCTAAAGTAAAGACAACAAAGCTGAACTATGAAGTACAAACTACTCAGTGATATATAGTTGACGGCCTTATGTTAATTCTACATTTTTAGCCTGGCAGGTTTTACTAGAAGATTGAAATATATAGCACCATGGGGCAAATAGAAACGCATTACGCTTATGAAAAACTTCTAGAAAACAAACATAACTAGTGGAGTACAACACGATAATGAGGTTCATTACTAATCATATCACTTCAGTTGCAACGCAAAAGAGGTAGAAGTATATCAAGGCGTTATAGTACATACCTGACCTTCACCCTCAATCACCAGACCCACTTTATCTTCAGTTAAGTTTTCTGATGACTTTTTCTGCTCATCTTCCTCACCTTCGTCTTTATAAACCTTAACCTCATCGGTACATGCAACTTCCATAAGTACCGAATGCACAGAAAGCGACCTTAGCCTCCTCCACTGTACCGCACACCTTGAGAACAAGGTGAAAAAAACGTGTATGGATTTCATTGAAAAAAAGCTTGATAACACTATCCTACACACAAAACTGATATAAATCGTTTATTATAAGATAATATACAGTTTCGTTGTTTTGTGCTATCGCTTTAAGCGGTTGATTCAAGTCTGGACGATCTATATAAATCCAACGTAAGCTTATTTGTTTGTATAATGTAGCCTCCAAACTACTTTTTTTAGTTTAAATTGGATTCCATTGTTAAGGAAACCGACCTAATAATTACCAACTATATACCCTAGAAGTAAGCTGGTGCCTCAAGATGGATGCATCAAATGCTATTGCTGAATTAACTGCCACTGAACAGAGGATTATCAAAATTAAATCAGATATAGATCAATTCGATGAACTTGTTAAAAGTGTGACTAGTGGATATGGTGACAAAGAGAGTCTTAATGAAAAATATCACAACCTAATACTCTCAACCAAGGATTTGTCGTCTCACCTGGCAGTTATTCAAAAGTAATTAAATTCTTATTATACTTATCACATTTACCAAGATCTAAATGAAATTTCAGTGCTCAGGAACCTAAGTAAATTATGCGAATGCCCACTCACCAACTGCCTTGTTGTGCAAGTAGGTTATAAGAAAAATGGGGGTAGACGAACAAAGTCAGGATCAATCCGTGAAGATACTGACTATTAGACTGAGCCATGTAAACAGTTTTAGGCTACTTGGTTAGCGTCCGCGTGATTGTCGTTACCAATGGTTAGAAACTTTAGATGACATGGCTCAGAATCGTCCATAGTGGCATAGGTGTATTCACTTTTTGCCTTCCCTTAAACTATAGGCTTCTAAATTTCTCTTCAGTAAATTAATATAACTGTTACGTGATTTTTTGTTATTTTATATTTTCTCGGATCGTCTCTTGAATGCCTAATCTTTTCAATTAACGCTCAGTCAGTCACAACGTAGAACGGGACATTTATATTTAGTAATCTAGTTACTTTATAAATATTGTGAAAAGATGCATATAATAATAGCTTGATAAACAGTTTGAACAGTTCAAATTTTTACAATATTCAGTCAGTTACAACGTAGAACTTCGTACGTACGTACATTAGTTCGGGTTGCCATACCACATTTACACAGAGATGCAGTTGTCCATTCAAATCCCATAGTGGTAGAAGTAGTAAGAGTATAAGCATTATGTGAAAGATTAGGGTTTGAAGATGTTATTGAAGGAGTATAATCCAGTGAGATAAATTTGAAAAGAGAAAAAGAGGGTCATGAAGAATTCAGAAGATTAGAATTTGGCAGAACACAAAGAGTGGATGTACCTTCGCCATTGTAAACGATTTTCAGCCATGTCATTCAGTCTTCAGTAATAAGGATAGTAGGTTGGTGAACCTGTGTTAATCCTGACAGATTTCCTTCCAGTGAAGGTCCAGCTTTTTTTTGAAAATGCTCACTGATGGTCCTGATACCACTTGTTCTGGTAAAGCGTTCCAATCATTGACCACTCGATGAGAAAAACGGGACCCCACCTTTAGTTTATTAGATCGCGGTTTCAGAACCTTCTTGCTATGACCCCGGAGATTATTAGTGCTGGGGTTCATTTATTTGTATGTGGGCTGTGATACTGCCCGGGTGCCCAAACCGAAGCAGGTGGTTTTCTTAGGGGACCACACCCCGAGCCTTTGACCTAAAGGTCTGGTCCACAAGGCAGTGGAGCATCGTGAGGAGATGCAGTCCCATGGTAGCCGTTGACCAATGACAGGTTCGTCCGCCATTCGTTCCATCAGGATACTGGAGCCCATGTGCACCATTGGTTTGGAATCAGGGTTTTCCAACTCCCCTAGGTGGACCCTCCGTGTCCACCAACCCGGTTATTATTATTTAAACACATATATATTGGTACAAAAGGGCACCAGGTACATATGCGCCACACAAAATAATGAAAGTAGGTAGATAAAGGATGAAAACGTAAGGCGGGCTGAAATGTACAACCAGAAGATTCTTTCAGTTAGGAAAGTTAAAACCATTCTTTATGTAGAAAGTAAAAGAAGGTTGCAGCAGGATCGCCACTGGCTTCTATTCTGAGCCATATCTGATAACGTCTCTAGCCACTGTGTTGCACTATCTCTCGGACCCCAACCAGGGAGTCGTGAAGGGCCAACAAAAGCTAGCCCTTTGCAGCTCTATTTCATGCCACGACACCATGTCATACACTGACCTCCTCTCCGCTTTTTCCAACCAGTCCCAGAGTCGGCAAATAATGCACGACGTGGAAGTCTCTGGGACGACATTCGTAAAACATGTCCGAGCCACCGAAGTCGATGTTTCAAGATGATGACACCAATTGAATTATCATCTCTGCGCCCGAACACACGATGCTGAACCTCTGCATTACTAACATGGTGTTGCCACTGAATGTCAGCAATCCTTCGGAGACAACGATGATCGAACACAGAGAGTCGTCTAACATCCTCAACTGGGAAAGGCCAGGTTTCACAAGCATAGAGCAAAACTGCTCTCATTGACGCGTTGTAGATCCGACCTTTTACAGCCAGACTAACATCACGAAGGCGCCAAAGATGGCCCAGATTAGCATAAGCCGCTATGGCTTTCATTATACGTGCATCAATCTCATCACTCACGCCACCACCAGCACTTATATAGCTACCTAGATACACGAACTTCTCAACTACTTCAATCTGCTCACCATACAGGGTGAGTACAGGATGAGAATTCTGCCAGTCTTGTAGGAGTACTTTGCACTTGGAGGGTGCAAAGCACATGCCGTACCTGCGGACACTGATTGCCAACTGATTAAGTGCGGATTGCATGCCTTTGGCATTATCGCACAGTAAGACAATATCATCCGCATACTCAAGGTCGAGAAGTCGTTCCCCAGGCAACATATCTACACTGCCATTAGTTACATCCATCAGAGCTGTTTCCAGGATGTCGTCGATAGCAAAGTTGAAGAGGAATGTTGAGATTGGGCAACCCTGCCTAACCCCACTGCTCGAATAGAACAAGGGAGAAAGGTGGTTGTATGCCCTCACTCTACCTGAGGTGTTCGTATACAGGGCCTTTAAGATGTTAATGAACTTCTCAGGCACACCCTTCTTCAATAGACAATCCCAGAGAACAGTCCTGTCCAACGAATCGAAGGCAGCCCTGATATCAAGAAACACTACGATAGTTGGCCTGCGATAATTATGACGGTGTCCTAACATTTGGCGGAGGGTGAAGATGTGATCAATGCATCCTCGACCAGAACGAAAACCAGCCTGCTCCTCGCGAGTCAATCGTTCTCGGGTTTTAAACAACCTACGAAGAATGATAGAAGCCAATAGTTTGGACGCGATCGAAAGTAGACTTATCCCCCGGTAGTTAATGCAGGAACAACATGAACCCTTTTTAAAGATAGGGACGACTATTGACTCATTCCATGATGTTGGAACACTTTCTTGCTCCCAAACCTTTCCAAACAACGCAGTCAGTTCCTTAGCCAGAAAGTTACCACCATCTTTAAAAAGAGCCGGAGGTAAGTCATCTGGGCCCTGTGATTTGTAACGTTTCAAGAGTTGGAGTTCCTTGCGGACTTCCGCCTCGTTAGGTGGATCAGTCGTCACCGGCCATGGGGGGCAGGACAAGCTGGTTGATGTTGCCGGAGCAGCAGGCCAGTTGAACTGCTTTTCGAAGAATTCCGCCCGTCGTCCAAGACGTCGGGAGATGTTAGTGATTGGCATCCCGTCATCCTCGTAGATTGTTTCACTCACACCAGACTTCTTGCTGCCAGTGGCTTGGATGAGTTGGAAGAGCTTCCGGCAGTTACCAGATGCAGCTGCTGCTTCCATCTCATTAGCACGCTCCGACCACCAGGCTTCCCGGTCCTTACGCAAGCTTTGCCCGATTTCATTACGTAACAGCCTTCGTTTGTGGTCAAACTCACGGTCACCCGGAGTAGACCGACGGGCTTCCATCAGTTGTAAGGAGCCAGAAGAAACCCAGTGCTTGTAAGCGGGACGTTTCGCGAAGCCGCAAGCGGCTTTACTCACCATTTTCATGGCGTCGTGAAGATGCAACCAATGCTCATCTATACTTTTCGGTGGGGTGGTAGCTAGCCTAGAGGCTAGCTCCGCTCGATACTTACTCGCAACAGGAGTTGCAGCCAGTTTACTAACATCAATCCGTTGGTGGTGGTCAATCCTTCGGCCACTGAAAAGTAAGGTGAGATTGGCGCAGACCAGGGCATGATCAGACTCCAGATAGGTACTCCAAAAGGAGGGGCAGTCTTGTACACAACCACGCCAGCGGTAGCTGATCGCGATGTGATCAATCTGAGTCCAGGCTTGGGATGCAGAGGGAGGACGCCAGGTGGCACACCGGCGATGACTGTGCCGGAAGTTAGTGCTGGCCAGAAACAGGTTGTGGTCTGTGCACAGTTGCAGCAAACGGTCCCCGTTATCTGTCCGGCGACCAACAAGTCCCCATCGGCCACCTAGACGACTCTCTTCTGTGCCTAGACGCCCGACCTGTGCATTTAAGTCTCCGGCTAGTACTACAATATCTGTCGGACGCGCTTTCTGGAGAAGAACTGTTAACTGATGGTAAAACTCATCCTTGATTACATCCGGGCTGCAATCTGTCGGGGCATAGGCGGAGATGACGAAAAGACACCGTTTCTCACGCCGATTTCTTCTCACTTTGATGGAACTTTCTAATCTAACAGCACATAACCGACTGTTAATGGGGATCCAATCGATTAGTGCTACCTCAGCCCTAGCGCTTAGTGCGACACCAACGCCAGCAAGACCAGACGAAGATGCCACAGGGTCCCCGGATAAGCGCACGTGGAACAAGCTTTTCGAGGCGACAGATGGAGAGCGGATTTGTAGTACTTCACTAGAGTCTTGAATACGGGTCTCGGATAGACAACATTAAGACCTTCCAAAGACATAGCCAGCCCTATATGTTGTCTGATATGCATTAGTGTGCGAACGTTGAAGGAAGCCAGCTTGAACGGCGTACGTGGTTTCAGAAAGACTGCTTCAGTATTCATTATCGGTGGAAGCATTCACTTTCAACCAGACAGTGACTGGAGATCGTTTAGATAGGACAGATTTTCCACCATGGGCGAGCTGCTGCATAAGTTGAAAAGTAAGGTTACACAAATTGGGGATAAAAGGGGGTGAGTTAGCGATATGGTAAATAATAATAAAGTTAATAATAATAATGTTCATTGTCCTGCTTTTAGTATGAGCAGGGATAGTATCGTTAATAGAGTTCATCATTTCATTTATTTGCCCCCAAATGCCCTGGTACGGCCGAGAGTGGGGAGAGTCTACTCTCCCTCTCGAAATGCTCTCACATGGCAAGCGAATATATAGCATCTGCCAGGGAAGTCCTACTCACTGCCTTCTCGTGGCGGGGGTGTTGTTTACGAAAGTGAAAGGACGAAAAGCGAATGTCCGGCGCTATAACCGGATTGGTGGACACGGAGGGTCCA